TGTCTGCCAGAAGCAGAAACCTGTTTAAGACATGTTTAAACTGGGAACAGATGTTAAAACTTATTTACTGAAGCTCACAGTGCAGAAAAAGCAGATATCTGGATATCTGTTCAAACAGCAGGAACATATTTATAACCTTGAGTCCTAGCAAAAATACAGATTTGGTCTAGAAGCATGTACATTTTTCTTCTGTCCAGAGAGCCAGATATGGATTGGACAGAGGTGCCTTTGGCCTGATGAAAAGCCCTTTAAGTTTATGCTTAGATAACAACCAAAGTAAACCTAAAAACCTTGAGCTTGTGCCTGAACAAATAGGTAGTCACTACTTTATCAGCTAACATACTGACTATAGCCTATAGTGAACCTGACTGTCTGATGCTGTCAAGCTGACAACCATTAATATTTCAGAGATCAAAGGGGTACAATTTTCCAGTGTCCAGCAGCTTTGTCCACAGTCTTGGCCAGGTCCTGGCAGGCAACAGGTATCACATCTGAGCATCTTGCTCACTGGTCCAGGTGCAGGAACTGGGGTGCCTCATAATCTTCTTTGGAGACTTTGGGTCACTGTCAGGATCTGGCAGTCTGTCTGATATTATAAACTTTTAAAATAACATTTTAAATGCCATATTCTGCAGGTCTCTGAAGCATTAGAGGTCTGTTTGTCTGTTAGCACACAGGTGGCTACGTAAGGTCTTATTTCTGTAATTAATTTTCAGTCTGACTGTAGCTAGTTTTAACTTGGTAAAATATTTGAAACAGCACAGCTGAATTTAAAACTGCATAGAGTTACCTTATATTCCTTAATCAGTAGCTACATGTACACATTTTAGCTATTTGCTTAAACTTAACTTCTTTCTGAGACAGGGTTTTTCTGTGGCTTTGGAGCCTGTCTTGGAATTTGTTCTGTGGACCAGGCTGGCCTTGAACTCATAAAGATCCACCCGCCTCTGCCGCCTGAGTGCTGGGATTAAAGGCGTGTGCCACCAACACCCTAAACTTAAAGGTGTGTGCCACCAATGCCCTACACTTAACTTCTGAAAACATAAACTGTAACATCTTATAATAGATTAGTAGCTTAGATTTCAGTCGGCACAAAGACACAAAGACACAGACAATACAGGGTACCCGTTTACCTCCAAGATTGACTCCACTCAGGTGAGGGGTGGTCGCAAATCCAGGATGAGCCCCCAAATGTAAGACCTTCGGAAAGCTCACGCTTTCAGGATCTTAGCCCAGGACTCGGCCACCCCAATCACCAGGCAGAGGTGAAAGCTTGATGCAAACTGCATGAGGCTTTATTGTTGTTTAATGAGCTAACCCCGTGTTAGCTCGGGTCTTTTATCCACCCACCATGGCGGATGGCTAGCAAAGACCAATCTCAGTTTTCTAATGGGCACAAGAATAGCTGCTAATTTTCAACTTGTCTTGATTCTTTTATTGTTGAAACAACAGAAAAATTTCCACTCCTGCTTGACTCTAGTTTGAAACTGGAAATCTAAAATATTCAGAAATTATTGCCTCACAACACTTCGTTTCACATACACACCTCAGGTCATTTCAGTGGTCTTTGAGCACCAAACCTTTCAAAATTAGAGCTCTTCCTTGGTAATATTGTTTACTTCTGTGCTGAAAAGCAGTAATTTGGGTCCCATCCCCTAAAATCCTGTTCCATGGCTGTGGTTTTGCACAAGCATGTGAGTACCATAGATGCCACAGCAAAACTGGCATAGCTAAGTTGTGTGTTGTATGTTGGTCAGACAGGGAATATTGTAGAACTTTGGGGGAGCTTACTTGTAGGGTCCACCATCTTGGAGAGATATCCTTCACATATAAATAAGGATTTCACCTTGCTTATTTCATTAAGGGGTCAGGGAGTAAAGACGTGCCTCTCTGGACTAGGGAGTGTTTGGTTCTGAGCTTAGGATCTTCATTACTTATAGAAGCTAAAGTGTCCCTCTATGTATGACATGAGAGCAAGACAGAACTTACCTCCTAAGAGGTGTATGTATAGGAAAGGGGTGGAAATTGAGGATGGGCCCATGCTCTTTTGAGTGATAGCTCTGGAAGAAATGGGGCAAGTCAGGTTGATACAGTGAGTCTGTAAAAAATACCATTGAGAAAGAAGAGAGAGATATATCGGAGTACTTCCCTTCTGGTAAGGAATCCTAGTGGTTGCCAGGGAGTTCAGGGAGGGAAAGTCACTTTGTGGGCAGTACCACTGGGGAAGAGGTAAAGTTTTACCCATGAGTGTTACCACAGGGTGAGGGAAGGAGAAGTCAAGGAGAAGGGAACAAACAACCTGTAGGACTCTTAGGGCTATAACTGCTGTTCAACAAATAGCAGATATCATTCCATGCATAGCTCTAAGCATTTTACATTTAGCAACTCATTTTTTTCCTCTGAGATGTCTGACTTTGTGGCACAGTTACAATTGCTTTCCCCAATCCAGACTAGAAAGAAATATACCCAGAGTTTTCTTTTACTTGTATATTGTTTCATTTTCACATTTCAATTTTGATCCATTTAGAGTTTGTATATATGGTATAAGGTATGAGTCCAATTTAACATTCATCTACAGTTTTTTTTTAAAGATTTTATTTATTTATTATGTTTGCAACATTCTGCTTCCGTGTATATCTGCACACCAGAAGAGGGCACCAGATCTCATAACGGATGGTTGTGAGCCACCATGTGGTTGCTGGGAATTGAACTCAGGACCTCTGGAAGAGCAGTCGGCGCTCTTAACCTCTGAGCCATCTCTCCAGCCCTACAGTTTTTTTTTTTTTTTGAGGCAGTGTCTTGGCATATAGTTAGGATGGCATTGAATTCACTGTGTAGTCTAGGGGGTTTGGAACTGGAAATCTTCTTGTCCCAACCTTTCACCTTCTGGCATTGCAGATGTAAGACACCAAGTCCAGCTTAATCTGTTTGCAAATGTCTGTGTTTAATGTAGAATAATGTTTACCAAAAATATATAGCCACAGTGAATGAAGTTTGAAAAAAGACTTGCACATTTAATTAAGGATCTTGAGGTGGGGCCATCCTAGATTAACTAAATTGGCCCTTTTCTAATGAAAAATATCCTAAGACAAAGAAGAGAAAGACATAGGAGGTGGTGTGAAAACTGATGGACATTAGAGTCGTTGTTACAGTTTAGGTATAAAATGTCCTGTCTAAAGGCTCATGTGCTGGATGCTTGATTTGTAGCAGGTGACACTATTGAGAAGTGATTAGATGACAATAATTTCCTTAATGGATTAATTCATTGATGAGTTTATAGCTGAATGGCTCATAGGAAATGGAGCCTAGTTGGATGAAGTAAATCACTGATGGTGTGCCTTTAAAGTATATGTTGTTCCTATAGCCTTCTTTTTTCTGCCTTTTTTGTTTTGTTTTTGCTTTTTCAAGACAAGGTTTCTCTGTATAGTCCTGGCTGACCTAAAACTCACTTTGTAGACCAGGCTGGCCTTGAACTCACAGAGATCTGCCTGCCTCTGCCTCCTGAGTCTCTCTCTGCTTTCTTTGAAAAGATTTATTTATTATGTAAACAGTGTTCTGTCTGCATGTATGCCTTCAGGCCAGAAGAGGGCATCGGATCTCATTACAGACGGTTGTGAGGTACCATGTGGTTACTGGGAATTGAATGCAGGAACCCTGGTATAGCAGCCAGTGCTCTTAACTTCTGAGCCATCTCTCCAGCCCATTCTCTCTTTTTTGACTGCTGAAAGTGTCTTTCCTCCATGATAGTCTTCTGCCATGACTTTCTGCCTTGCTAAGAGGCCTAAAAAGAAAAGAACAAGCTGTTCATGGAATGCAATGTCTGAAATTGAGTGCGACTAAAAAAAAAAAAAAAAAAATTCCTCATTTGGTTTCTTTTTTCAGATCTAGTCACAGCAATGAAAATGATACTAACATGGTGATAGATTTATAAATTAAAAGGACAAGGTAATAGCTTAGTGGTAGAATCTTACCTACCATGCATGAGGTACTGGGCTTGATTTCTGGAGCTACAAATGTACAAACCAAGGCATATCAAGGATTTCTGGTGCCCTCTAAAAGCTAAGAGCAAGCCATCAAATAGATTCATAATAGAAACAGTATAGAATATATTTTCTTCAAAAGGACTTCACTCTATGATCTCATGACTTTGTATTTCTTTCCCTTTTTTGGATTTTTTGAGACAGGGTTTCTTTGTATAGCCCTGACTGTCCTAGAACTAGCTTTGTAGACCAGGCTGGCTTCGAACCCACAGAGATCCACCTGCCTCTGCCTCCTGAGTGCTGGGATTAAAGGTGTATACCACCACTGCCCAGCAATTTTGGATTTCTAGTCTCTAGAACTGTGACAGAAGAAATTCTGTTGGTTTAAACCAGCCAGTTTGTGGTAACTTGTTACTGTCTTAAGAAATGAATATACTATTTATTTAAAAATTCACCTTTGCCCCTCATGATTTGAGATGCTATTTTAGTTATTCACAAACTCTTTATAGACATTTTACACTGTCTCAGTGGCTTGTATATTCAAGTGTCATGATTACATGGTCTTATTTATTTGGTTGGTTTGGTTAGGTATGGTTTTTGAGATATGATATTGCTATTTAGTATAGGCTGGTTTTGAGCTTATTCTGTAGTTTAGGTTTTGAGCTAGCAATCCTCGTTCCTTTACCTCTTGAATGTTAGGATTTCAAGCATGCATCGTGTACCTAGTTCCCACACTATTTTAATTATTGAAGCTTTATGGAATGTTCATATATTTTATGAAGTTAAGCTCTGTCATTGGTCTTCATTTTTAGGGGTTTATAGTTACCCTTTCAACTTGAACTTTTCTTATGCATTTTAGGCACATTTCTCTCCAAATTATTCACTTAACTATTGTGCTATACTATTTGAAGTATTTATTAGAAAAACATCAGAAAGAGTTGAGTAACCATCAATTGGGCTGTGAGAGATTGGTCCCAAATTTTTACCTTTTCCTGTAGCCATACTTTTTGCCCTTGATGATTTACTTGCTTGGGTCATTTGCTTTGTTTAGTGGCACATGAGGAGAGAAAATATGGTATTTCTGAGGCTAGGCCTTTGTGGTGGTTTGAATAGGTATGGCCTCTATAGACTCAGTGTTTGAATGCTTGATCCATAGGGAGTGACACTATTAGGAGGTGTGGCCTTGTTGGAGTAGGTGTCTTTTTAAATTTTTTTGGTTTTTCGAGACAGGGTTTCTCTGTATTGCTTTGGAGGTTGTCCTGGAACTTGCACTGTAGACCAGGCTGGACTCAAACTCACAGAGATCCACCTGCCTCTGCCTCCCCAGTGCTGGGATTAAAAGCATGCGCCACCAATACCCGGAAGAGTAGGTATTTTGTTGGAGGAAGTGTGTCACTGTAGTGGTGGGCTTTGAGGTCTCATATGCTCAAGCTATACCCAATGTCAGGCATGGTTTCCTTCTGCTGTCTGTGGATCAAGATGTAGAACTCTCAACTCCTTCTCCAGGACCACATCTGCCTATACACTGCCATGCTTCTTGTCATGATGACAGTGGACTAAACCTCTGAATCTGTAAGCCAGCCCCAGTTAAGTGTTTTCCTTTATAAGAGTTGCCATGGTCATTGTGTCTCTTCACACAATAGAAACTCTAAGACATCTTTGGATTTGTTGTCTTGCTTTCCCTCATCCTCTTTGCATCACTAGAAGATATGTGTCACAGATGTGTACCACCCACCATGCCTGTTTCAAAGCATGTTCTCTTCACATAAAGTGTTTGTCTGAGAAGGACCTTGCAGGTGCCAATACAGGCAGAGATGAGAGTGAAAACCCGGTTCAGATTGACCTCATCTACCTGAATCAGACTTTGGAGAGTCTAATGTCAGGCTGTTCATTGTCAGCATATTTAGAATGGTACAATTTGGGAAAAGGTGTCCAGGCAACAATCATTGAAATCTAGGTGTACAATAAAGCTTCAGGTGTGACTACATAGAAACTCCTTTGCAAAGTACATGTGACCTTAACGGTGGGCTCTATAGCTAAAAGGCTTAGAATCTAATGTGGTCTCTGACCAAGATAGCATAGAGGTCAGCAGGTCATATAATACATGTGACATCCCCAGTAAAGGTAGGTTCTACTAATGGGGAGCTAAGAGGGGGGAGTCTGGGATAAACAGGCATTGGGGTGAGGCCACCAGTTCATTAACAATGTCCACTTCTAGCCTTCTGGGCGGGAAAACAGGTATTTTATCTCCATTGAAAAGAGGCCCCTGTGTATTTAGCATTCCTAGTTTCCCTAGTGATTTATGGGAGCAAGGACCTTTGTGCCCACAACATCTCATCCCTTCTAATTTTTTAAAATAGTAGCTGTGATAGAGGCCATGGGAGAATGCATTGCCTCCATGGCTAGTCTAATTAGTATAGGCAAGCACCAGAGAATTATAAGAAGAGCTAACAAATGACCAGGGAAAGGGGAAAGCCATCCTCAATTCACTCATCTCTTAATTAATTTCTGCTAATATTTTTGTATGAGCAAAATGGGTATAATACAGCCTATTCCACTTAAACCTTTACAAACAATCCTTAGCATGACAAAACAATATCATATGTCTCCTATTATATGTCATATATCACAGGCATGTCTTTTATCTCCCCTGATGAAAGGCATTTGGATTATGCATTGACAAGAATTAACATGCAATACAGTCATTAAACAATGTTATATTTAACAATAGCATCATTTTTTTGGTTAGTCCTTGTTATTTCCCCAAAGTCTCAGCTTGATAAGTTAAAGTCCCGATGTCTTCCCAAGTTATCAGCTTACTTACCCCCTTGGGAGATCTCCTTTTGATGGATTTGTCATCTGCTTTCAAATATTTCACTCATCTGGTGGTCTCTGGATGTCTTGGTCAGGTGCATCAGATCAGGAGCCATCTGGTACTTCATTCATTTTCTGAAAAGACACAAGCATAACCACACCTGATGTTAGCAATGGGTCATTTTTCATTGATTAGTTTCTAGCTTGATTCATTTAACATATACTTTAGGTTGTCTCTCCTTTAGGGCAAAAAGCTTTTGGGCAGCAGAAAATGCATTATCCTCTAGTATGTGAGGATTTATGTGGGTATATTTAATATCCCCTTTTTACTTATTAGAATTTGCCAGTTCTGTATTTGATGGTGTCTTTCCACAACAGCTTGACCCTGTAGACAATAAGGGATTTCAGTAACATGACCAATAATAAAAAAATTCAAATCATTTGCTAGTATAAGCAGGACCATTATTATTGTTTAGTCATATGGATTCTAGAAAGGACATTTGTAAAGGGCTATTCAGCAAAGTTAAGTTCCATATATGATACAATGGTATTTGGAGCTTCCAGGGCCCCATGCCGTGCCTGGGGCTGTGCTCTTTAGCTGATTAGTTAGGGAGTGGCATTGTGCATGTCGTGTCTGTAGTGTACTTTGAGCACAGATCTTTACATACCTGACAGCGGAGAATATCCAAGACACAGCCAGCCATATTTTCAAATGTCAAACTGATGTTCATTCACTACTAATCATGCATTAGGAATTTGGAATACTGTATAAAATTTGTCTTTATGCTGTATAAAACAATGCCAGAGTCTGATCTTTTATCAGATCAAGGGAAAAGCATAAAACTAAAAAAAAAACAATAAAATCCAGTGAACAATGGTCATTAACTTTTAAAGATTTAAACTTAAGGCTTTCTTAATTTAAGATTTTGGATCTTTAAAATTTATGACAATTTTAATCATGAACTTAAGGAGACTTTTTTTATTAGTTAACAGGATACTTAGAGGTAACTGAGAAATAATCATAGAAAATGCTGAAGTAGAAAACAATTGGGGTTTCCCATGTATGCATGGAAATTTATATCCAACTGGTATTATATATGAAACAAAATTATGAACAGTATCAAAACATAACAGTTTCATGGAGGAAGAACTTGCTGGAAGGCTCTAGTTTTATTTGCTACATTTTGTAGGCAGTTTGATGTTGCAGATTCTCAGGCTACTCCAAGAATAGTTTTAGGTGAAAAACTTGAAAATAATCTAATTCTTACTGATTGCATTTTTGGTTTTAACTCTTTTTGGCCTTTGGGGAAATTTGAGAAACATATAATTATGTTTTCATTTTTTGCACTATATTATCTTGAAATATTTTTTGGGGGGTTTTGCTTCTTTTTTGTAATTTTTTATTAGTTCAAATTAGGAACAATTGACATGCTTCACATGTCAATCCCTCCTCCCTCTCCTTCCCCTCCCCCCATACATCCCACCTGCCCCCATTCCCAGCCACCCTCCATTACCCAGGCTGGGTAGGGACCTTGAAGGGGGCTCCCCAAAGTCTACAACATCATCCTGGGCCTGGCCTAGGCCCTCCCCCATGTGTCCAGGGCAAGAGTGCATCCCTTCAAATCTGCTCCCAGGGGCCCTCCTCATTGACATCCTTGTTCAGGGGTCTTATTCAGTCCTTTGCTGACAACCCAGACAGTGGTCTGGGGTCCATGTGCTCCCCCTTGTTCAGGCCAGCTAATTCTGTGGGTTTCACCAGCCTGGTACCTACCTACCCCTTTGATCTTCATTCCTCACTCTCTGCAACTAGGTTCCAGAGTTCAGTTCAATGTATATCTGTGGATGTTTAGCTCTGCTTCCATCAGCTACTGGATGAGGGCTCTGGGACGGCATAAAAAGTAGTCATCAGTCTCTTCATAGGGGAAGGGCATTTAGGCTATCCTCTCCACCATTGCCTAGATTGTCAATTGGTGTCATCCTTGTAGATCTCTGGAAATCTCCCTAGTGCCAGATCTCTCCTTGGATCTATACTGGCTCCCTCTGTTATGATATCTCTCATACTGCTCTCCTCTATTCTTCCCCCAACTCAACCTTTCTGCTCCTCCATTTCTTATCTTCCCCTCTCTTCTCCTCCTCACATTCTGCCAGCTCCCTCCCCCTACCCTCATGCTCCAAATTAGCTTAGGAGATCCTGGTCCTTCCCATTCTCCGGGGTTCCTGCCATTTTTAATAGACTCAAAGTAACATAGAAATTATCTTTCTCAGATCTCTGATAGTATTGATGGTTGGGCTAGCTATAACTTTGTCAACTTGGCAGCATCAGGCAGCCTTGATAGGGCTCCTAAATAAGGATCTGAGAATATAAAGACATGTAAGTCTTAAGGGTATAAAAATAATTTAAAATATAAAAGTTCAGAGCTTAATATTTAATAAAGTTCTGATAAGCTGGTAGAGCGGTGGCTACCTGCTGTTCAGTCACAAGCTCAAGGTTTTAAGATTTATTTTGGTTGTCATCTAAGTATAAACATAAAGGGCTTTTCATCAGGCCTAAGGCACCTCTGTCCACACTATACCTGGATCTCTCTGGACAGAAGAAAAATGTGCAAGCTTCTAACCCAAATCTGTAGTTTTTTCTAGGACTCAAAGGTATAAGTATATTCCTGATGTTTTACAGATACCCAATATCTGTTTTTTTCTGCAATGTGTGTTTTAGTACAGATTGGTAATGATAATACGTCTAAAACTTTTATGTCCTTTTATATAATAAAGTTCATATAGGTTTCAGAGGATCAAAAGTCATAAAGCTTGGAACCACTTCTCACAGATCAAAAGGACTCCAGATAAGTAAAGCTTTTGCTACCCCACCTGCCTGTTCCTGAGGTTGGGATTTTTTCCCCTGGTCTTGGGACTCCTGTCCTTCTTGATCACTAAAACTATAGGCCTAAGAGTTCCAATTAAGTATATAAGTTTTAACTTCTGTTCCCAGTTTAAACATGTCTCAACAGATTTTCCCTTCTGGCAGAGGAGCATCAGTTGCTGACTGAACCCTGCTCCTAAAGACTGCAAGCTCTGGACTTGCTGTGGGTGTGAACCAGCCCAACCAATGTGAACACTCCCTGTATCTTCAACAGAGTATGCAAACTAGATACCCCATTTCCTGAATCCCCTTTTTTGCTTTTGACCAGCATTTCAGCCTTCTTGGGGCCCCAGACAACACCCCAAAAGTCAGCAGGAAGTAGTTCAGGAAAGACTTTGTCACCTCCTTTCCCTGGTTGAGATGCAAAGTTAAAAGGAAACTCCCATACATAGGGGACATGATTACAATAGATACAAATTTACTATTGTGCACCCCAAACTTCCCCAGAGTTTTTAAAATTGTCTACTGGTAACCCAAGAGTGGGTTACCTATAAGAAAAGGGGAAAATGAAGGACCAAAAATTAAAATTAATAAAAGTTTAAAAACTTGGGCCCAGAAAAGGGAACTTTTGTTGTTGTTGTTGTTATTTTCTTTTTTTCCGAGACAGGGTTTCTCTGTGGCTTTGGAACTTCTAAGATAGGGGATGTCGTCGCTGGTGCCTGAGCCCCGCTCTTAGAGAAGGAGAGGTGACTGTCCATCACTTGTGTCAACATTCCTATGTCTGCTAATTATGTATAAGCTACCATTATTACCAATTAGACAGTACAGTTTAGGGAGGAATCACTTTCATAATCTATAGGTAAAAATCCCCAGTAGAATGGGATATTTCCATGAGATAAACACATTACATTACAGGCACCCATTCACACCATGCCAGATACCAGAGAAAGGTAACTGATGGGAGAGGTCCTTCTGTATGGTGTGAATATATGTTTCTCTTATTGGTGATAATGAATAAAACACTGATTGGCCAGTAGCCAGCCAGGAAGATAGGTGGGGCTACCAGAAGAGGAGAATTCTGGGAAGAGGGACGTAGAGAGCAGCCCCCAGAGAGTTGCCATGTAGCCACCAAAGGAGTAACATGCCAGAGCATTATGGATAAGCCACAGCCTCATGACAATACATAGTTTAACAGAAATAGGTTAACTAATTAAGAGAGAGCTAGCAAATAAGAGGCCCAAGCTATTGGCCAAATGGTTTATAATTAATATAAGCCTCTGTGTGTTGATTTGGTATTAAATGGCTGTGGGACCAGGCAGAACAGAAACTCTGTCTACAGGTAGTGGCAGCAAACATGTAAAGGCTCAGCAGAAGCAAAAGACATTTGTAGGTCTGTGGTCTCAGGGCCTTCCGTAACAGAGTCTCCTCCCAGTAGGGTGACACCTTGAAATTCAGTTGCCACTTGCTGCTCCTTGACATGGCATATAGTGGAGCACACGCCTTTAATCCCAGCACTCCAGGAGGCAGAGGCAGGCAGATCTCTGTGAGTTTGAGGCCAACCTGGTCTCCAGAGTTCCAGGACAGCCAGTACTGTTTCACAGAAAAACCCTGACTCAAAAAGTCTATTCCTTTTTTACTGCTAGTTTAGGTATTGAACTCAGGTCATCAGGCTCAGTGGCAAGCACTACTGAGCCATCTTATTAGACCCCTAAAGATGTTTTTATTGATGGTGCATTAGACTTAAGGACTCATTAAAAGTATTACTAGTATATTTATTTTAGCCGGAGTAGACAGAGTGGGGAATAAGGTAAATTTTGGGATCAGTGAACCCCACAGCCAAGGCCCATAGTCATTGCAGGGGTTAGGAATTTAGTAATGATTTCTACACCATTTCCCACCCCTTTGTGGTACATCCTTGGAGCATTAGCATGACACTATTATTGTGTAGTGTGTGTGCAGGATGTGGAGGGCACATATGTGGTCAGATGACAACTTTGTGTATTGAGTTCTCTCCTTCCACTTTTATCTTCTAAGCTATCTCACCAATCCTCTTTTCTTTTCCTTCCATAGTTGATGTTTTATTGGTTAACGATCAGTACACAGACATTTCACTTCATATAATTCTTAACACATGTACCAAAAATCTAGCAAGCTATATATTGTGTGTCTTTTCAGACAGTTATCCTGATGAAGCCCCAGCTTCAAACTTGGCACCAAATTTTTCTGAAGATGACCTCATGGAACAACATTGTCAAATGCTCCTATTTTTACTTCCACTGATTCATAATTTTATGTCATATACACTGCATACTGAAATATTCAGTCTTTCACAGCACATTACTAAGATTGTTAGGAAAACTGGACCACCATAACTAGACATGTTACAAAGGGCACACAGTTCGTGTGTGTGTGTGTGTGTGTGTGTGTGTGTGTGTGTGTGTGTGTGTGTGTGTGTGTGTGTGTGTGTCTGTGTGTGTCTGTGTGTGTCTGTGTGTGTCTGTGTGTGTCTGTGTGTCTGTGTTTAAGCAGGTCTAAAAACAGAAGACTAGGGGTAATTTAAAATATTTGAGACACATTATCTATAAAACTGAGCCTCTGAATTGCCATTTAGTATGCTTTGTATTGTAGAATCTAAAACTAAGCACCTTCTATGGAATGTTAACTGACTCTTTATGATGGTTTGAAAGAAAGTAGCCCCCATAAGGAGTGGCACTATTAGAAGGTGTGGCTTTATTGGAGGAAGTATGTCAAGCTACGCTCAGTGTAGTACACAGTTCACTTCTTGTTGCCTGTGGATCAAGATGCAGAACTTTCAGCTCCTTCTCCAGCACCACCATGTTTGTCTACATGATGCCATGTTCCATGAGGATAATGGGCTAAACCTCTGAAACTGTAAGATACCCCCAGGTAATGTTGTTGTGGTCATAGTGTCTCTTCACAGCAATAGAAACCCTAACTAAGACACTCCTGCAATAGCCACAACCTCCCATGATTCAGTATTTCATTGCCTTCTGGTTGTACCTAAGACCAAAACCAAACCAAAACAACAACAAAACAATCAACAAGTGATTTCACCTCTTTTAGACTTATTTTATGATTATGAGTGTTTTTGCTTGCATGTATATGTGTGTACCATGTGCATACCTGATGTCTGCAGAGGTCAGAATCTGTGTGTATCTGTGCCTGCGGAAGTCAGAAGGTGTTGGATCCCCTATAACTGGTTTTGTGGATGGTTGTTAGCCTTTCACAGGACAAACTTTTAAGCACAAAAATAATGTTTTGAGTTACCATACTTAAGTTAACAACAACATTTAGTCAGAAGCAGAAGTAAAGAAGCCAAAAAGCAAGGTTCATACATTTAGAGGCATTCCCAGAACTATTGGCTATGATGGATTAGGCCTTTGTTTTAGTTTTGGCAGGTGGTGCTGTGTGCTAGTTTTACAGCCTGGATGACATTTCCATCGTGGAGTCACTTGTCCTAGGGTCTGGGGCCCTGTTACACTCTTTTTTAAATTAATTTATTTTTTACATTCCAATCCCAGTTCCCCCTCCCTCTTCTCCCACTCTTCCCACCTCCCATCTGCTCCCAGAGAGGGTCTGTTATACTCTTAACTGGAGTCATCTGTCCAGCTCTGATTTCACCTCTTAAAAACTCATTTACTTGTGTTTGGTTGATATCCCTGGGAAGCTTGCTCTTTTCTGAAGGGAAATGGAGGAACAGTGGATATGGGAGAGGGTAGATGAGTGGGGGGCACTGAGAGGAGTGGAAGGAGGAGAGGTTGTGGTTGGGATGTATTGTATGAGAGAAGAATAAAAAACAAAGTCATTTACACTTAGAAGATAGGAAGGATGGGATTACCCTCTTTAAAAATTGTATCTAGAGCTACTAAAAAAGCCTTGCTTTTATAAAATATTTGATAAAAATACTCTAGATTGTGTAAGAAGAGGGACAAAGATCCACTAGTAGACATGGCTAGTCCAACTTGGCTTTTCCTTTGGAGTTCAGTGGAGTCTGAAATCTCCCAGTTTTTAGTTTCTTCATTTTCTACAGGCAGAATTTGGTCACCCACTTCAGCCTGTTTGCTCTTTGCTCCCATCTCCCCTTGTCTGCACAGTTTTGTCTGATGATTTATTATTTCTTGTGGCCTTTTCTGGCTTTATTCGCATTTGGCAGGCATGGATTTTACTGACAACCTTGTCTGCACTTGCGCTCCTGCTAGAGCTGACTTTCTTCTTGGGCCATGCGATTCTGCACATGGTCACAGAACTGTGCTGCCTGGCCTCCTGCTTCTATGCCCCCCATTTTTTTTAAATAGAAACATTTACTTCTGCAAATTTCCCTCTCAATGCTGCTTTACTATCATTGTATAGAATTTAATGTGCTGTGTTTTCATTTATTGCTTTTAAATTTTCCCTTAAGACATCTATGGCCCATAGATTCTATGACAATATTTCAAGTACTTGGGAATTTTCTTAACTTTCTGTTTTTTTTGGGGGGATTCGAGACAGGGTTTCTCTGTGTCTTTGGAGGGTGTCCTGGAACTAACTCATGTAGACCAGGCTGGTCTCAAACTCATAGAGATTGGCCTGCCTCTGCCTCCCGAGTGCTGGGATTAAAGGCGTGCACCACCAATGCCCTTTCTGTTTTATAATATTTTATGATCCCATGTATTTTTCTTTTTTTTTGATCCCAGGTATTTTCTATCTTGCAAAATGTTCAGTTGTCTCTTGAAAAGAACATGCATGTCAGCTGCACTCCTACACCCCTGGTACTATGAAAGGTGAGAAAGGGTTATGAATTCAATGCTAGTTTCAGCTAATAGAGTTTGAGGCAAGCTTGGGCTAATTAGTGAAATCTTCCTGTCTAATAAAAACAAACAAACATTAGTGCTCTGCTAGAAATAGCTGAGCATTAAAAATACATATTTTAAATTTATCAAAAATCTCTCATATTTCTGTTCCATTAGGCCACCTTTCCTTAATCTTTTATGAAGGGGCATTTCATAAAGCCTTTTGTTTTTCTTATGTTTCTGTTGAGGACTGTATATATGTTTCTTCAGTATCTTTAGGTGATATTTGGAAATGAAAAAGAAAATTCATAGAATTCGCCAATTCATTATTTCTCATGTTGTGTATAAATTATCCACTATTTCTTTTTACTTTTTAGAAGCTATTTGTTATTGCTGTGTTATGTCATCATCAGTCCCCACCCTACCCTGGTCTCTTTCAAACTCACTCATTTGTGTGATTTATTTTTGAGATTTATATATTTTATTTTATGTATATGGGTATTTTGCATACACATACAGGTTTTTTACACCACAGGCATGCAATGCCTGAGCTGGCTAGAAGAGGACATAGATCCCCTGGGACTGGAGTTAGAAACAGTTGTTAGCCACCATGTGAGTGCTGGAAACCAAACATGGGAGCCCTGGAAGAGCAGTCAGTGCTTATAACTGCTGAGCCTTCTCTTTTTCTCCGTCTCCTTGTATTCTCTCTCTCTCTCTCTCTCTCTCTCTCTCTCTCTCTCTCTCTCTCTGTGTGTGTGTGTGTGTGTGTGTGTCTCTCTCTCTCTCTTCCTCCTTCTCTCCTTCCCTCCCTCTCTTTATCTCTCATTTTTTTTGTTTTTGTTTTTCTGAGACAGTGTTTCTCTGTGTATGTATCCCTGGCTGTCCTGGAACTTGCTATGTAGACCAGGCTGGCCTCAAACTTACAGAGATCTGCCTGCCTCTGCCTCCTGAGTGCCAGGATTAAAGGTGTGTGCTCACACCCAGCTGTGAAGATGAACTTGGAAGTAAGGTAGACTGGCTCTAACTTGTAATTACTAACCTTCTGTTTCTGCACATATATAAACAAGAATTATTAATATGTAGATGAAACATTTTGTGCAAATTATATGACATCTCTCTGCCTTTGCATATTACATGGGTCCTTACACAGAGTAATTAGTCTTTATCTGCAAATCTTGGGATTAGAAATGTTTTATATTTTGTGTTTCTTTTTCAGATTTTGGAACACTTTCATTTAACATGAAGAGGTAGGGACTGAAATCCAAATCTATATTTGAACTTCTTATATGTTTCATCTCTACCTTACATCTTAACTTGAAGGTAATTTATGTAGTATTTTTTGCAACCTTGTTTTGAATGTGATCCTTCACAGTCATGTGTAAATGTACATCTCCATATCATGTCAGTGTTTAAAAGGTTTATTGAATTTGAAACTTTGAGATTCAGAATGCTCAACTTGTTTAAGACTACCTGCTGATATGTGAGCTATTTTCATTGTGCCAGTCTTATGCTAAGTACCTTACAAACATCATCCCATTTTAATTTTCACAATCACTTGAGGGTAGTTTTTATTCATTTAAAAGTAAAACTCAAGAAATATTTTTATAATATCATACCTAAACAGTGGCAGAGCTAAAATTTAAATTTTTATTAATCTTACTCCAAATCTTACATACTTCCTCATAGTCTACTTCGAATCGATATTTCCAGGACTTTGTCTCCTGTGGGTATCTAATAGATACTGTACTACAGTATCCAGTGGGTTGAACTGGATACTTTAGCACTATCGTATGTTTAGTAGCAAATGTTGTGTGATTCTGATAATTTTCACACTATCTTCTCAGGTATCTTTGAGTATTCTGTGGGGTCCCAGTGGGAAACCGCATAGCAAAGACTGGAGGATTTCCCTTCTGACCCTAGAAGATCCTGGTAAGTCTACAGACTTCAGCAGAACTGGAGAACCTGAATAGAGCAGAGTTACCAATAAGAGACCCCAGGGATAGCATTAACATGGTGGTCACCCAAGATCCTCCTCAGCCAGGGAGACATGCCAAGGCCTATGAGGTGAGGGAAAAAGAGAGACCTAGAGGGTAGGACTTTTTTATTCTGAACTTCTGAGCCTTAATGAAAAACATATTTTGTAAGCATGTCCCCCATTCCTGATAAAATTTTCACAACTATTGAAGCTACATTCTAGTAGGGTCCTCATGAAGCTATATCCAAACTTTTTTAACGAACACTTTATTATTTTAAGTGTATAGGTGTTTGACCTGCATGTATGTTTGTGCCCATAGAGACCAGAAAAGGGTGTCAGATTTCCTGGGACTGGAGTTACTGCTTGTTAGATGCCATATGGATGCTGGAAATCAAAACCAGGTCCTCTGGAAAGCAGCTAGATTCTCTTAACGACAGAGGCATCTCTCCAGCCCCCACCCCAACCTTTTAATTTTTTTAAATTTGAGATAGGGGGAGGAGGGGAGGGAGAGGGAACTGGGATTGACATGTAAAACAATCTTGTTTCTAATTCAAATTTAAAAAAGAAAAAAAATTGAGATAGAGTCTTGCTGAGTTACCTAGACTGGCCTTGGACTTGTAACCCTTCTGCTTTTAGCCTTCTGATATAGATATGTGCCACCATGTCTGGCACCTTTCTATCTCTTATTTTCCTTCAAATTAGTTAAAAACAATTTATCTCTTAAATATTCTATTGTACATCATTAATACTATTATAATTTTTGTTTAAATGCCTTAAAATTTTAGAACATTCCCATAAATACCCCATTATTGTTATTTTATACTTACAGTGACAGTTTAATTTTTTTTTAGAAAGGGTCTTACTGTGCAGCCTTTGCTGCCCTGGAACTTGCTCTGTAGGTCAGACTGGCATATAACTCACTGAGACCCACCTGCCTCTGAGTTCTGAGATTAATGGTGTATGCTACCATGCCTGGCTAATTGTTATTTTTAAATTTAATGTTTTATAGTATATACAAAAAGTTTGAAAAGTACAAATCTATATAGTCAAAATTCTCTTATCCATCTTTCTCCTATATGTTCAGTTTTCTCTAACACATATAAAATTGCTTTGTTTTCTTTGGGTTGCATTTATTCATTATTTGTTTGTTTAACTATATCTATCTATCTACCTATCTACCTATCTATCATCTATCCTATTCTATTCTATTTTTCATAACCCAACCACTGTTTTTCCTCCCTCCTTCCTCGACATTTCCCCACCTCTCCTCTGTGCCTCTCCCTCCTCATCCACTCCTCTATTTCTATCAGAGAAGGACAGGCCTCCCATGGATACCAACAAAGCTTGGCATATTAAGTTTAAGGCTGGACAAGGTACCCTAGTATGAGGATAAGGGTCCTAAAAGCCAGCAAAAGAGTCAGAGATAGTCCCTGCTTGCACTGTTAGAAGTCCCACAAGAAGATAAGCTACACAACTATAACATACATGCAGAGTACCTAGGTCAGTCCCATGCAGGCTCCCTGGTTGTTGGTTCAGTCTCTGTGAACTCCTATGAGCCCAGGTTAATTGATTCTGTGGGTTTTCCTTTGGTGTCCTCGACCCCTCTGGCTCCTACAATATTTTTTCCTCCTCTTCTGCAGGATTCCCAAACTCCTCCTAATGTTTGGCTCTGGGTTGCATCTGTTTTCATCTGGGGTTGCTTGATGAAGCCTCTCCAATGACAATTGGGCTAGGCACCAATCTATGAGCATAGCAGAATATCATTAGGAATCATTTAAGTGACTTTTTGCCAGGTGTGTTTGGTTCTAACATAGGTCTCTGGGCTATCCGACCTCTGGGTCCTGTCCCTTCAGGTAGTGTCAGGGGTGGGCTCCCACTCATGGCATGGGTCTCAAGCTGGACCAGTCATTTGTTGGCTATGTCCACAATTTCTGTGCCACTTATACCCCAATATATCTTGTAGGTAGGACAAATTGTAGGTTGAAGTTTATGTGGCTTGTTTGGTATCCCAATTCCTAGTCTTACCTGGTTACAGGAGATGGCCAGTTCAGGCTCCATATCCTCCACTGCTAGCCATATCCCTATTGCTAGGAGTCTTAGCTAGGGGTCATTTTCATAGATTACTGGGAATTTCCATTGCAATAAATTTCTAGCTTGTCTCTGAGATTTCCCCATATTCCAGTTTTCCCTCCCAGTACTCTCTCCATCCATCCTCCCACCTGATCTCTCCTGTTCCTGCTCTAGCCCAACTCCTCTTCTTCTACCTTTGCTGTCTATTCTATTTCCCCTCCCCAGGAAGATTCATATGTCCCCCTTGATCCCTCCTTGTTACTTAGTCTCTCTGGGTCTGTGGATTGTAGCATGGTTATCCTTTGCTTTACAGCTAATATCACTTCCATTCTTTGGTTGAGGGACAGCTATGTTGTTTCCAGTTTCTGGCTATTAGGAATAAAGCTTCTATGAACATAGTTGAACAAGTGTCTTTTTGGTAGGATGGAGTGTCCTTTGGGTATATGCCCAAGAGTGGTAGGTATAGTTGAGTCTTGAAGTAGATTGATTCCCAATTTTCTGAGAAACTGCCATTACTGATTTCCATAGTAGGTATACAAGTTTGCACTAGCACCAGCAATGGAGGAGCACTGCTCCTGCTCCACATCCTCTCCAGCATGAGCTGTCACTTATATTTTTTATTTTAGCCATTCTGACAGGTATAAGATAGAATCTCAGAGTCATTTTGGAATTGCATTTCCCTGATGACTAAGGATGTTGAACATTTTTTTTAAGTGTTTCTCAGCCATTTGAGATTCCTCTGTTGAGAATTCTCTGTTTAGATCTGTACCCCATTTTTAACTGGATTATTTGGTATTTTGATGTCTAGTTTCTTGAGTTCTTTATATATTTTGGAGATCAGCTTACTGTAAGATGTGGAGTTGGTGAAGATCTTTTCCCATTGTGTAGGCTGCCATTTTGTCCTATTGATGGTGTTCTATGTCCTTTGCCTTACAGAAGCCTTTTAATTTCATGAGGTCCCATTTATTAATTGTTGATCTTAGTGTCTGTGCAACTGGTGTTCTATTCAGGGAGTTGTCTAATGTGCCAATGCATTTTAAGCTATTTACCACACTCTCATCTACAAGGTTCAGTGTACATGGTTTTATATTGAGGTCTTTGATCCACTTGGACTTGAGTTTTGTGCAGGGTGACAGGTATGAATCTCTTAGTGTTCTTCTACATGCATACATCCAGTTAGACCAACACCATTTGTTGAAGATGCTTTCTTTTTTTTCCATTGTATAATTTTGGCTTCTTTGTCAAAAATCAGGTGCCCATAGTATGTAGATTTATGTTTGGGTCTTAAATTCCATTGATCCACTTGTTTGCTTTTATGCCAGTACCATGCAGTTTTTATTACTATAGTAGAGCTTGAAATTAGGAATGGTGGTACCTCCAGAAGGTCTTTTATTGTACAGGATTCTTTGAGCTATCCTGGGATTTTGTATTTCCATATGCAGTTGACATTAGTAATGTTGAAAGCTCTGTGATGGGGCTAAACATGTGATGTGGGAAGTTTTTCAGGTGCAAATGGGGTCACACCTCATGTGAGGTCCCCCTATTTATAACAAAAATTTTTTGAGACATTGTCTCACTATGTAGCCTTGACTGGCCTGGAGCTCCTAGAGATCCATCTGCCTCTGCTTCCCTAGTACTGGCATTAATGGTGTGCATGAACATACCCCACACCCAGGTTCAAAACTGAAGTAGTCACCATGGTGTATTGTAATATCAGAAACACAGAGTTCAGTAATTTGTGTCATGTCTATTTCAATGGATGCATTGTCATGTCCAGTGTGAGGGATATGAGCAGCAGTGGTAGGAAGCTGAGCACTGAAGTTTCAATCAGCAGTTTGCTCCCAGTCAGTTTCATCAAGTTGACCCTTAGTGTAGAGCCCTACATATATGTCATGGAGTACTCAGCTGCAGCTGTAATTTGTTTGCACATTGCATAATACCAACGATGGTAGTCCAGTCTTAGTATATGGTTTTTCAAGCAGGAGACTGTACAGTTAGGCAATTAGCCCAAGGGTCAGAAAAATCACAAGGCTAATCTCTGAAGCCATTTTAGGATTAAACTTCCCCTTTCCAACTCCTGGCTCTGAGCTGTCTGTTGACCCTGGGGAAATACCTTCTAAGCAGTTGCTTTTGAGGCACAGAGGATGTGTTCAGTTTAGCCTTTCTTTCTTCAATGAAATTGGATCTTGTTTGAAGGTTCTAGCAGGGGAGTACAGCTACTTGAATACCCTTGACCAAAGATCAGTCCTCTGCTATTCAGGGAAGGCTGTCCTCTTCAACCGACTATGCAGCTTTGAGAGGGATGTCCTTGGAGTGGTGAGGGAGGAAGGGGTACCCACATGGCCAGCCAGATCAGTGGACTCACCCCTGGTGATCAATGGGGTGACAGATGTCACAGCCAGATCACCCTCACATCCGAATTTGGATCTATACAAGATGGAACTTACAAGGATTGGGATTTTACCCTCAGGACAGCATTCCTATTTGTCCCAGTGCAGCACAGCAGGTTTCTCTTCAGTGGTCCACATCTCTTAAGAACGACAACTGCTTTCTTTTCACCACATCACCATTTAAGAATGCTCTCTGGTCCTGAAATTTTCGCTATCAAACATATTAATCCATTACCTGTAAATCCAAGTTTACTCAACTTCTCAGTATGTGGGCAGAATAAAACTAGATTCTTGGCCAGAATATCATATGCATGGCCCTTAGCCCAGTTCTTGATAGAGTCTTCTTCCTCTTTGAAATCTCATGAGTTGTGCCTACCTCCATAGCATGAATTTGTCTCAGTGTTCTTATCTTCAGGCTCCCATCAGAATAGCTCATTAAGTTCTGGAACTCACAGAGATCTACCTCCAGAGTGCTGGGATTAAAGGCATGAACA